ATGCACACACAGGACAACTGATTTGCTCGATGTCTCCAAGTTAGTGGCGAAGCTGAAATTGGAACTCATGTCCCCTCATCTCTTGATATAACCCCGGTTCTCCTAACAGAATGGGTGGTATGAAATCCGGCTGTATAGATTTAATGCCAAGGATTGTCAGAGGATATAATCTAATTGTGCTAGACACATTCAGTTAAGCTATACTTCATCAATATTTCTAGGAGTGAATTTTGTCTGAAAATTAAAAAAAAAGTCCAGAAAAAAAATCTAAACAAAAACACAGTATTACCTGTTCCAAGCAGAATGCAGTTTTTCAATTACAACATAATATCAGTCCCTCCAATGCAATTCTAGTCTGGGTTATTTATTTTATTTTTAACTATGCAGTGCAGGAGAGGAAAAGTCAGCACAATGGAATGTTACAATAGGATAGATACCTCCTGTTCCAAAACCTAAATGCCAAGGTGAAGGTTAAACATTTAGTTTTGTCTCGGCATTTATCAAGCACTTGGAGGCTGCTACCCTGCAGTGCTATCTCTTTTGACATTATTGCCCAATTAACACTGATACTGAAGAGCTGTTTAATGTAAGACATTCACTCAAGGCACCAAGTCTCCTTCTCTCTGTAAAGACTGAGGTTGTTTTGCAGTATGTTAGGACCCCATTACAGAAACATGCAACCCTTTATTAAAGTGCTTGTGTATAGATGTCAGCTGATGTTTTCCACTCATTCTCTCAGCCTGCTAATGTAAGATGTGAATGCATCAAGTTCACTTGAAGTCAAGACTGAAGAGGACAGTAAGGTTTCAAAAGAAGCTCCACCAGCTAATGAATGCTAGCTGATGTAGTTAAAATTCATACTTTACAAATGAGGCAAAGAGGCGTTTCTTCTTCCTAAAGGCTACTTTAAATTCACAGGCACATCGGTAAACACATCTACTGGTGATGGTCTCTGTAGGAAGTTATGACAAGTCTCATAATTTGCAGACATAAATGCGTATAATTATAAATCTATATTGTCTTAATAGGGATCATTTGTGATATTTAAAGACAGCAGAGAAGATTCTTAGCAAGCACAGTTGTTCACTCTCTCTAAAAGCGGACAGCTTACTACAAAATAAGTGAAGACTGCACTTCAAAGCTGCATTATCCTTTTCAGTGTTTCACTTATTCTCTATCACACCAGGTTGTAAAAAGTATGTTCTAGAATGTATTCTTGTCAAAACAAGTTATATCCCTTAATTAAGTGAAGGAGGATTAAGGTAAGAATACAAAGCATAAGTTATGTCAAAACTACAGTATTTAAAATTATCAGAACCTGGTAGTTAGACTATACAATCAACATGTCATGGTTTTGGTGAAAATATCACACAATTAACATTTTGTATTAGACCAATTTCAGACGAGCAGGGTTTTTTTTTTTAAGAGAATGTATTCTACCCCTTGTATTAGAAAAATGTTTAACCTGTGAATTGTGTAAGTGGTGGCAGCATCCATGTCTACATTTAGATTTACTGAGATTTCATGTAAAATGCCAAGTATGTAACCACTCAGGTAAGAAATAACCCAGATTTTACCAGCAATGTATGAATATAGCAACCCTACCTAGGAAGTGGATGTCTAATACTACAATCATTTAGCAGTGTGCAGGTCTTTATAATAGCACACATCCCAGAATACACTCACAGAGCATTTCCTGGCGTTTTATCATCTCTGTCTGTGCACCAGTAGAGGGAACTATAGGGACTGCTAATCTAATCCAACCACAGGTACTTAGCTAGGGTCTTTTCAACCGTATCTTGAAAAAATTTGTCAGAACTAAGAACACCAAGACCATGATTTTGGAATGTCTTTTGCATAGACAAAATTTCAGTGTTTATATAATTAGATCATTACTCTGAGTGAAGCATGCAGACTGACAGGGTGCTCTGTCTGCAATGACCAAATATTATTTAGAATCATTCCAGTTTTAGTCATATCTTAATCTAAAAGATGTTTTGTGACTGGTAATATTTTGGAGAAGAGCAGGGAGAATGGATGGGGATCCCCTTCACAAAGGTGAAGTAAAAAGGATATCTAGATATGTTGTAAAAACATCCGTAACTGCTTACAGTTTGTACTGATATTCTATATTCTACAAATATTAATAAGTTACTTTGCAATTTTTAAAAGGTTCTGACAACCCCACATGGTTCTCAGAACAGTCTCTTTACAGAGATTAATTTAATTTAATCTAAATTCAAAACAGAAAGTAATAATGCTTGCTTACTATAGGAGACAGGAAAAAGAAAACTAACTAAACCAAAACACAAGCTTTTCTCTGCTGCTTATAGCATTGTGATTCACCATTTGAATCAATTTCATTAAGGAATCCTGGGAATACAGAATCCAACCACTGAATGAAAGCCTCTGGACCAGCACACTGATCTGACACTCATCCTCTCATATGCACTCCTTCCCACACCTGTGCTTCCCAGAGAAAAGATATGTAAAGATAATGGCATTTTTCTGTTTATAACTGCTTTAAACAGTTTTGCAAGGCTGCCAACATCATTTACTAAATCTGCTAACAATCACTTTGATAGTAGTAAGAAAAGTTAATATAAATCATTTGCCAAGAAATAGAAGTGGCACACATATGAATTTTACATGACAGTCTTATTTGTCACAGGATGAAACAAAATACAAGACAATAAATTGAAGCTATTAAGCACAGCAAAAAGACTGAAAGACTGCAGCCTCTCTTGGTAGCGTCAAAGCACTCACCACAATGTAATTTAAACAGTATCAGCAAAAAAATACCCACATTACACACTAGTGGAATTAAAACAAAACAAAAGAAAAAAGTTGTCAAAGCTAATCTCAGCAGCTGTATTTTCACTGGCACGATAGCAAAACCATCTGAAAAACAAGAACTTGCAGAAAGCATTATCAAAGAAAAGAGGCTATTGGTTATTAGTGTTTTAAAGATGCCTTTCACAAAAAGGCAGGTACATTACTGTGGCAATGCTACTTCCTCGATGTGAGGAGAACTAAGTGAAAACCCTCCATATACAGAGGCCTGGCTATGCAATAAAAACTGGAAGTTAACAGCTATTAGTGCTTTCTTAACAGGCCTCAATCTCATTTCCAAAAGCCTAACCTAGTGGAAATTCACTGTTCTGTTCCCTCCTCTGCAAGCATCCATTACTGCTAAAACATCTGCCATTTTAATTTTAGTTAATGACTTGACAATAATAATCTAGGCTTATTTTCTTGTCAGGCTTCTGCAGTAATTTGGTTTAAGACCTGCACATAAATTTGGCACTAACTGAAGGATTTCAAGCCCAAACATCCTGGAACCTGAAGCTTCCTCTGTTCATTTACAATATACGGACATAAAAGCAGTTACAAAGCAGGCTCCACTGGTATTACGTATCTATAGGTGCCAATGAGCAACCATCAAGTAATAACCATTTATGACAGTGGTAACATTTGAATCTGCAGCCTAGAACTGAAAGATACAATCCAACTTTTAAAAATACATTAATAACTTTTCCATATGAAACGCAAAACTCTCTCCAGAGACCTAGTTTGGAGAACAGGTTGGACACCAGCCTTCTAAAAGGTCCTTTTACAATTAGCACCAGGCCAAACACTCAGAATAACAAAGCTGATATTTCAGTTTAAGTATAAACCACCTCTCTTCTATGTCCAAGGCATTTTGCTATTTCATGCTATAACAAGATTTCTATGACTATTCTTATCTCTCCACTTCAACTTACATGCTCTAGAAGGGATTCAGAGCACAGAACTTAAATTCACCCTTCAGGGCATGAACATTATTTAGCATTAAAAAAACGTTTAGTCTGTGCTTCACCGCTTCACCAGTCACTGCACTTCCCCCCCCCCCACCCCATCTAGCTTGGGAAATCTAATATCAAATAGCACTTTTGGGCCACAAGAGGAAACTAATGCAAAACTATTTCCCCAAATTGCCACTGTTTATATAAAAAGGATTACACCATCACAACCCTAAAGGATGGCAACCCTGCCACAATCTATTCCTGAAGTTTTCTTAATTGTAGAAGTTTCCTCTTTCACCACACCTATTTCTCCATCTCCCAGGTCAAGTTATTACATATTTATTCAAATTTTCAAAACATTCTCATTTTTATACAAAAGGAATGTTTTTGATGACTTGACTCTTACTTTTTTGGAAGACTATAGTTTTTTATCGAGTTCTAAAGACAGCTACCTTGAAAAAAACTTTTGTATGTGCACTGGGGGAAAGAAGTGGGAGAAATCACATGTGCACTGTATTTGACTATTTAGATTTAGCTATTGCATAGCTAACCATTTCCTCCATGGGTTATCGGGATGTAGTGTTTGCTAAAAGTATCCATGTTCAGTTTCTCTCCCCCTCCCCCTTTAACATCTTGATTTAAAAACTGGAAGATCCGTTACACAAAACTCTGAAAGAGCAGCTGTCTGGAAAAAGATTTTCAAATCACACCATCTTATCCAGGAAAAACAGTACTTTCTCACAGGAAATAAGATAACTGGCAAATCATTAGATATGAAAGAGCAATCATGAACTGTCAGAAGCAGTATTCAAGATTCAACTCCTTGTGTGGCAAACAAAGGGGTCAGTCTCTATTTAAAGCATGTGGTGCAAAATTGACATGTCAGTCATGTCAATTTCTCAAAGCCTTTGTCCATTAGTGTTACTTTGTGTGGACAAATGCCCTTTAGCTTCTTTAAGGAGCCAAGAAGCCAGAGGAAGGTTAGTCCAGAGTCCAACTTATCCCTCCCTACTTCTGGATCTCACTCAAAGAATATCTGTACAGGCCTTCAAAGTAAACCCTTTCTCCTCTGCTGACAAGCTAGTGGCCCAGCTGCCGGTCATCATAGGTGCTGTATCTCTTCACATGGATTCGGCGCACTCGATCACGAAGTTCAAAACCCTCATCATCCTCACTGTGAGAGGCCTGGCTTCGGCTCCTACTTGTTGCTTCCAGCAGAGAATTATCAGGAACTCGTGGTGTTTCATAAAGTAAAACATTTAGTGTTTCCTCATATATTCGTGCCTCTGGGAATTCAACCTACAAAAAAACAGCACATGTCCTTTTCCTGATCAGTACAGGATAACATGACTGGAACACACACACATGTAAATTTGATTCACAGTAAAAGGAGTAAAACAATTGTAAAAGGGAAAGATGAGCAAAGCAGTCTAATCCCTACTACAGCATTACTCCAACTGCCAGATCCCCTACCTCTTCTTTTAAATTGTTCTAGAATGGAATACGATTATTTCTGATTTGTAAATACAAATGTTAGATCCTGATAAGCATACCTGCACCAGTGCAAACCAGTTGTACCTCCTGAAGTTAGGGACACTCTCTAGATTTATCATGCTAATTATTATCATATTTTCATGCATGTAACTCTCATCCCTTTAAGATGCAGTGTTTGAAAGCAAGTCTTTAGGTAACTTGTGCAAAATCAGAGGCAGGAAGACCATCCTTGGAGATATTCAAAACCCAACTTGACGTGGCCTTGTGCAACCTGCTCTAGCTGACCTTGCTTGAGCAGGGGGTGGACCAAATGATGTCCAGAGGTCCCTTCCAACCTCAGCTATTCTGTGATTCAGGGATTTGTTTTTCCTCTAACCATAAGAGACAGGTAGGACAAACTCCAATACCTTGGTTTGCTTCTTCTCTGTGGCATACACTATAGAGGTACAACAGACTTCAGCAAGTTTCCGACCCTGTCCATAGAAAGACCAGCAGCAGATTTCATCCCCTATAACATCTTTAATGAAGAGAACTCTGCCATTGAATCGGAGAGAAAGTTTGTCAAACAGTTCTATATTCTTCAGTAAGTTGTCATCTGAATTACTGAAACAGAAAGAAAAAGGTTTTTGTAGTTTTGCAACTGGCCATCTACCGAATTAACGTCTATTCCACCACAGTTCTAAGCGTGGATCTAACTGCAGAATACAAGTAGTGACTCATTGCTATATGCTGCCAAAAAATAAAAATAAAGAGGGTAATCGCCAACTTGAGATAAAAATAAGATGGTCTGATCCCCATGAGCAAACGTATCAGACTTTAGAGGCCAAGTTAGATAATTAATAACGACAGCAAATCATTACATCAACGATCTACAACTACCTCTTGACCGATGCTCAAGACAATTAAATCATATGCTAACTGCAGTTCTGTTTAGGTTTAGTAACAGCAAAAGTCTAAAGAGTTGGTGCATGTTAAAAAGCTAACTAAAAAGCAAGGTGTTCTGCACACAGACTAATGATACCATATGCCGATTTCCAGGGTGAACGCATAATTTAGGGAACTAAGTTTTATTGACAGCCAAGATGCAGGATCTTAACTACTTTTCAAAGAAAGATTCAAGTGTTCTTGAGAAAAAAATATTTATAGTGTTACAGCTTTAAAATCAAGTAAAGCTATCAGAAAGCTACTCTTTAAATTTAAAATACATTACTTAAATAACACCACCACTGTCCAATTTGACCAACTAAAAACCCTAAAACCTTACTCCTCTAGTATTAGCTTGGATGCAGCTGTATCAGAAGTACGTACTCTATACCTATTTCTGTCTCCTTTTATAGATGGACGCGAAATTATGTGTGGGTATGTGGAAGTCTGTGAAAATATTATTCCCTTGACAACAAACCCAGTCTTACTAGTTTTAGCAGTAAAACTCCTTATGCTTAGATCCAGAAGGTTGAGGTTCACACCTTGCTGCTAAGAATCCACCCAGAGGCATAACATCATTTTTTGGTATGTAATATCTTAACTTTTGCAAGTGGTCCAGGAAGGGTATGATGTACTTGCGAATCAAGACACTGCTAATAAGAACAGCCAATCAGGCTTTATGTAAAATATTTAGTCCGAGAAGTATTTCTGGTCAGATCTAAATCAAAAAAGCATGATGTAGAGTTGGACAAAAATTTCAGCTCTCAAGAATCATTTGATAAAACAATCTAGGATTCAGCCAGTGACAAATCTAAGGCTCTATCAAGAGGCAGAACTGGGGCGGGGACGAAGAAATTGAGCAGTCTTTGTTCCTTTATGCTATTAGACCACACTGACAAAGTAAATGAAAAAGCTGCTTTTACACTGTTGATAAGGAAGAACAGAAGGAAAAAGTCTTTGCTTACTAGCAGCCAGTGTGGAATTTTAAACAAAGATGCCTCGTTTAAACACCATCAAGGCATGAAGATTCATGTTCAAGGAATAATTATAAACCTAAAGCTAGCTGGACACAAACACTTCCTGGTATCAACCTCTAGAGTTCTGTTGCTGTCATTACTAGCATGTTAACATTTCCAGACCCAGGGTGACTAATGCTATCCTGTGCTTGCTTTAGCATCACTGCCATAAACTAAAGGTAACACAGGCACAAGTACAATACAAGTGGCAGATACAGAATGCAGTTTGCTGAAGAACTCCCTCAAGTTAGCATTTGCTGACTACCTGAAATCTCATTATTGCTAGAATCCATCTTTCTGACAGATACACAGTCAGTTTGTCTAGACAAAGACAGAGAGAAGAGCTTCCAAGATTGCATGTCAGCTGAAACTGAGGACTGTAAATAGCATAAAGGATTATTCACATTGCCTCAGTGACTGGTTTGGGAAAATCCAGAGCCATTCTAGTAGCATCTTGACAAAGGGATCATGATAGTTACACCACAAAATCCAAATAATGTTTTCTTATACAGGAAAAAGCCAGTAAATTTCTGTGGTAGCCAAATAATTAATTCATTTAGAGGCATTGGGGGACCTGGAATATCAAGAACTGCTGTAGGTCAGGGTAAAAGAGTGCTGGTGGAGATATATGAAGAACCAAGATTAAAAGTGAAGAATCAAGAGATAGGTATCATGGCTGCATTGTCTTTGAATTGAGAAGGCTACACTCAAGGTTACCAGTTTGCACTGCGTTACCTAAGTTAGATCTGGTTTCAGCCAGTATTAATAGCTTCATCATTCTTGTCTCGTATCCCTTGACTCTCTTTCTCACATATACCTCCCTTCTCTAGCACAACTGAACTGTATGCTAGACTTCAACAGAAGTGATTTGTCTGTCTCCTCTCCCTCCTCCCAACTTAGATTCACATCAAAAAAAACTGCACTCAAATCCATAGAACAGCGCAGTTGCAAGCTACAGGAAGGTAGACCATGTTACATTTTCCTCCCCTCCCGTAGTCAAAGGGTAATTTTTCCATTACGGTGCAGAGAAAATTGACATACCTGGTGTAAGAGTATTTGTTGTTGCTTCTATTATAAAGCAGCTTAACAACAGGCTATTGGGAGAGGAGAGGGGGAAAAAAAAACAGAAAAGGTAAGTTCTGTGTTTGAATACATTAAGCAGAAATTCAGTTTCTCACTAGATAGTTCTAGAAAAGCAGTTACTTTCATTGATGATTCTATGAGTCTCTCTTCTTCTTTTGGAGATGTGATGATAGGGATGTTACAGACAGGTTCATACAAGTCTTTCTTGTCCTGTTTTAAAGAAATAAGAGGGAGAGGAAATAAAAAAACCCAAGGGATATAAATGATGAAACTAACATCTGCTGCTGCTCTCTTCTCCAAAACCTCCCGCCATGTTCCCAAACCCTGTGATGCAAAGGAAGAGCCCTACGTTGCTATAGTAACTACACAGCATTACCTTGATCTCTAACCCAGAAATACAGCAGAGAGGCTTCTTATTCCCAGAAGGCAGCAATAATTGAAATATTGGGATGCAAGGGGATGTCCTTCTTAGCTATAGCAAAGACTCTGAGCTCAAGTCATGCTTGGTTTAAGTGGGTTTATTATTCCAGCCTTTTTTGGAGAAAAGGATAGTAAGAGTTTGCACAAGTTTTAAATAACTCAAAACACTGCAGAATATAAGATCAGCCACTATGAACTGAACATTTGGCAAGAAGAACAGTATGTCACTGAAATGGACTTCTTCCCCTTGTGGTACAAAAGCAACCAACAATAGCTTGAAGTACAGTCTGTGACTCCAGATTCCTCATGTAGCAAATTAAGGAAAGCTCAATAGCTAATGGGAAAGCCTTGGAACATTTTGTTTTTAGAAGAAAGGTTTTAAATTCAAAACCAGCAGAAAAATTGTCAGTGTAGCTTTGCACTTCTTTCAGTGGCTACAAGAAGTATGTTGAATGTGAGGTATTTGTTAATTACTCAGTTTTATCCCTTCAGAAACATTCTTTTCACAATCTTAAGATTAATAAAATGTTTTATATATATATAAATAATACATATCTGGGCTAACCTTGTAAGAAAGTCAGCCAAACAAAGTGATTTCAGTCAGCTGAACCTGAACACATACGGAGTAGTGCAGTGAATAAAGCTACTTATGGGCTTATATATTTACAAACAGAGCTAGTAAGATGATACAAATAAAAATCCTTAAAGTAATCAGTGCTCACCATGTAGACCTTCCTCTTTCTACATTAAGATTCAAACGTGGAAAAAAATTACCATATTTTCAAAGTTTGCAACCCATTCTGCTTATCAACATTATCCGCTTATCTATTATTATCCAATAGAAGTGATATAATTTGGCGGAATTTTAGGCAAATGCTATGAGGTCTTTTAAAACATTTGTGTTCAAAATTATCATGTTTATTCAACGAATTTCCTTTAAATTTCAGTTTTTCATTTCTTTTCACATAAAAGGAACTCAAAATTCACTATTTCCTAAATTAAAAAAATATACAAATATAAAAGAAACAGTCCCTCTATTTATACGACTGGTTCTGAACATAATCTCTTCTTTATTCATCTTCTGGCATTCTTGTGAAGTAGAAAAAGTCCTGTTATCCCCATTCTGCAGCAGGCAGCTGGGCAAGAGAATGGTAGCTCAAAGGAAAATGATTTACCCATCATCATACAAGACATCTCTGAAATGAAAGGAACTTGAACCTGAGCCTTTCATGTTCTAGATTAATATAATTTAACTTCTGGACCATCTTTCTCTCTTCTTACAAAGAAATAGCTGCCTTGATAATGCAACCACATCAGTAATTACACTAGACCCCTTGAGAACACAGGCCCCTTTGCCCTGAAAGGCTGTTCCACAATATTGAATAGGTCTGAGAACATTTCCTGTGAGAGCATAAACTAAATCTCTCTTACACAAAGCATCACAGAATCTCGAGTGTCCACATACAGCAAGGAAAACCATGGCTTTGATAAATGTACTTGATAAGATCTTAACAACTTATCTCACTGCTGTCTCATTTTCTTTCCAGGCTACCTTGTGCGCCTAAGACTTGATGTACATCTAAGACCATGAAACACTCTTTGAAGTCATCCTAAGTCATATTTATAAGCAAAACGCCTGCCAATAACTACAGGCTACTTCTATTTCTTACCTGCAGGGCTGCTTGGCACATGTCTACTAAGCCCTGAATAAGATAATATTTGGCTTCTGCCATCAACTCTTTGATCTCCTGTCTGTGTTTTGGAAGCGCAATTGTGTCATCTCGGAGATAGTTTAAAATTGTTCCAAAGTGCTTCCCACAACGGTCTATAAGGATCCAGCCTGAAAAGTAACCATCACAACATTTCAATCACCTCAACAGTGGGAGGCAAACAACAGCTTTTCAGAGAGGTTAAACATGGAAACTGCATTCAAGTTTCATAAGCTGATAAGAAGCCTACTGAAACTTCCCTGAAACTGCGTATGATCTGTTTCCCATTTCATTCAGTGAAAGTCTTTACTGACTTTGAGCAAATTGAAGTTGGTTACAGAACAGAAAATGACAGGGGAATTGCTCTTCTGGCGATCTACTTTCCTCTTTGGAAATGTACTTTTGGAAGACTTCTCTACTCTTTTCTGCTTCTTTTCTATTCTTTGGAAATCTACTTTTCAGCACCCCAAAAGAAAAACACAGTTAGAAAAAAAAACTAAAAATACCCAGCTTTCTCTCAAGAGACATTAAAATCCCTGCAGGAACCTGGCTGCACTGTATCTACTGATCAGTCCATGTGCTGCCTGACTAAAATCATTTTCTGTGTTTGATCCTTTATTTATTAGGAATGGATCTTCTTAACTACTATAAGAAATCACCAGTTTGCATTTTTAGAGTTCTATTTGACTGACTGACCGAGCAATTCAAACCTTAAAAAAAAGCTTATTGTTAGGCAAGCTGCTTGTTTCATTTAGAGGCTTGCCATATTCCCAGCAAAATAGGGTTTTGCTGTGTTTGTATGGGAATAAATGTATCAAGTGCTGCTGCAGTGTAATGCTGGGCACTTGAAACTTAGAAATCTATTACTAAGAAAGCTAAGGGAAAAGTATAAGAAGGAATTTGCAAATATTTGCAACAAGTGAATTGGGGCTAAGTTCTGTGGCCTACCTAGAAAAATTTGTCAGCCTCCCAACCATCTTCTACTGTTGTTCAGAGTTAACAAAAAGAAAAGTATTCCAGGGATGCCAAAACATAGAATAGCCCAGAAAAAACAGTGTGGGAAAAACACTGTTCCGGTCTCCGAATACGAGTAAAGAACACAGACAGATCAGGAGAGAGTGGAAAGTGGAAGCAGCACAGGAAGGAGTAGTAGATGAACGTTTTTCTGATTCTAAAACATCCCTGAGGGCACATTGACTAGGAAACAGGATGTCTGACTTGCTGGCAAACAATAGCAATGCAGGACACACGCAAGCAGAGGACTTAGTACAGTGACAAACTCTCTTCCATAATGTGGAAGGCAGGAAAAAAATGGTATTTGGGGACCCAGGTGCAGAGGACATTATAAGAAAAGTAGACTAAACCACTACTAGATTCTCCAGCTGTGGCTGTCAGAACACTAACCCTGTCCTCTCTTCAGGCTAAGGCTCTTACACAAAATTGCTGGGCTAAACTGATTTAGTCATATACAAACCAGCGTACTCAAGAGGAATTTGGTTTAAGTGATATGCACACAAAGAAGTTGTGTCAGTTTAAGTAAAAACACTGTTATGCATCAAGTTTAAATTGATGCAGTCTCAGCATGTGGAAGAGCTTTCACAGATGAATATTCTGAAACACCAAGAGGTTAAATACTTGCCATCCTCTCTCAATCTCTTCTCCACAGTGCTACAAGCCTCATTCCTAAGGTATCATTTTGCTATGGGATAGTAAAGAGAGGAAAACAGAAGCATTCATAGGCATTGCTGACATCAGTCTTCTTACTTGTTCTGTTCTCTATAATTTATTATGGATTTTTATTTTTATAATGCCAGGAATCAATGTCCAGCATGAGGTGACATAATACTTGACTGGTGACTAAATACTGTCACAACATGGATATGTATTGTCAGCAACAAGTGGAACATACTATTAGGAGGGGAAAAAAACCCAGAATCCTCAACATAGCAAGCAAGGCTGTTGAGTTTGAAAGATGAAAACTGAATGTCCCCCCACCCCCAGTTTTGATTGACACCACTATATATCACCCAATAAATGACAACCCATGTGCCGTATGTTCAGTCTTGATAACGTCAGCAATCTGTGTACCAGCTGTGATTGTAGCAAAGAGAACTAGTCCCTCCTCTAGTTAATTTTAGTAACAAAAGAGCACATTTTCATAAGGCACGGAGGCTTGCTAGAGCCAATGGGAGCTGGGTGCCTAATGTTCCAAATTACTTTCCGAATACGTTTTTCCTTATACCCTTCACTCAGCATAGTCTACAAAAACTATTGTTTTACAAAATTCTCCACATCAAAAGACATTCCCCTTACCTTCCTTGTCTGTGAGCACTTCCATTCTGCCACTGAACATAGCCTTCAACATTGTGTCATGCCTGGTCAGTACTTGAACCGTAGTATAATATAAGGAACCCCCAACATTTAGTCGCACATATTTGTTACCAAGGTTGCCCCCTTTGAAGTTGCTAGTTTTGGGCTTGGATCCTGCAGCTGGACAAAGGGTGGTTAGACATGTGTCCCCTGACATCTCCTTCTGTAGATAGATGACAACCCTGCAGAGCGTGGGCTTGATGGATTCCGCCGTGATTGGTGAAGAGTCACAAGTCACGAGATGAGGAGTGCAAGGCAAAAACAGTCGTAACCCACTGGACCCTTGAAACAGAAACGTATAAAGATCAATACAGAAGCCTGGAATTACCATTTAAAACAAAAACAGGAAACCCACATTAAAGAAGAAATGTATTCAGTAGATTCTTAAGGACACATCTGCACAAATTCTGACAAAACAAGACGTAAGTGTTTTTCAAACAACTTACACAGCAATATAATGATTGTTCAGCACCATACTGTTAAGTTATGGCTGCATTACTGTTAGCGAGGCAAGTAAAACTTTTCTGGACTTCCTTTTGTTTAGTCCTCAGTCAATATAACAATCACCATCCAATCCTGTACAAGTTTAAATAATAGTTAGAATTTGGCTCCCTCCCAACTTCCCAAAATAATGTAACTTTTTCTTGTGCAAATCTAAAACACAATGGAAGAGCTTTCTGCAATGTCTCCAGCTGGGGTTTATATGAATTTTTTTTTTAACTGGAGACATTTACAGAGGTTTCAGCTGCCTCTCTTTCAAGTGCCTCGACACTAAAATGCTGGGCCATAATGCTCTATTTCCTGGTACATCCTTCATTCAAAACTCTTTTTCCTCTGTCCTGGAATGCCAAGCAGTCAATATAATACTAATTTTTCTATTTAAAAAATACGTCCAGTCTTTGGAATATTTGCCTCACGGAAAAGCCAGCTAAGACATTCACAACTTCCTTCCTCTCCCCAGTCTCACTATACTTATCTTTCCATCCAAGAGAAGCTTAGAATGGAAACAAACAAACAAACAAAAGGAGAACAAAACTCAGTTTAACAGGCCAGATCTCAGGTTCTTTAACTGGAAAAGTACAAGTACGGGTTTCTCAGCTAGCCTTCTTTTAATAACTGTTGGCCTCAGAAACATTTTGCTGGCTTTTCCCCTCTCACTATGCTTTTGTCTGTTTATCTATTTCAGACTACAAGCGTCTGTTCGCTTCTCTGTTCTGTGCCCGTGGTACATGAGTGACCTTTTATAAATAAATATAATAACCTGTTAACTGTATTGCTATTCTTCCCACATCCCTCTTCCTTCTCACCCCACCTCAGCTTTCAGCATGGAAAAAACCCACATCTCTCCATCCATCTGGTGCAGCAAATTACTTAGCAGCTACAGATGGTATCTTAAAATTGCCAGAGATTTGAATAGCTACTGAACTTAGAACGATATCTAACATAATGTTATTCTAATTAAGGAAGCACTACAAAAAAGATCTATTAAACAACAAACAATACAAAAACTTTGCAGGTCACAAAGACACAAACCAATGTTAACAATTTTAGTGCCAAGAGAGATCAGTTTGTCTATAAATGCTGGAACTCCCACTAGCTGTCAACACTCTTTACTTTCAACTAATCATCCTAGAACACAATAGTAAATTTACTTCTACATCTGAACAAGCCAATTTTTTTTTCTGAGCACATCATTTTAGACAAGTCGTCCATTGACAAATATAAGTCAAAGGCAACTGCATGTTACAAATGAACTAGGCTAGAAAAGTAATTTCAAACTGGTAAGCAGGCAGCAACAAACAAAAACTGTGCATGCGATTATGGTGCTATAAGAAGTTTATTACCCAGAAGAGCTAAAAGCTATGGAGAAATTGACCAGAACTTCTCCAAACACATTGCACATAACACAATTCCTCCTTACTAGACATAGGTGTTTACTATAATCTTTTACAAATAAGTAAATCAAGACTAGAAGCAACTATACTTATTGTTTCAGTTAAGACCTTTGGTAGACCTAAGTTATACCTCTATTTCTACAAATTTGTTACAGATGTCCTGTCTTGTTTTAGCCCATAGCGATCTCTCTTTAAAACAAAAGCATGTTTTTAAAGATAGCCAGATTGATCATGCAACAAAAGAAATAACTCCAGACCCAAACAGAGCTCTTTAATGTCTTTCTAATGGATAGCAAAATTCTCTATCCAGCCTATCCAAGTAGGAGCAAATACTATTACTGTAACATGTTTATTAACTAGCAAGCTAGGAGGCTTTTGCTGCAAACAGTAATTTGACCTTTAATTACACCCATTAACGCAAGAGAAAATTTTCTACGTCCTTTCCTTCCTGCCTTTTGTGGGAAGCAGATGGAGAACTGCAGAACAATAACACGGCAGTTCAGACACCCTATCAGGAAATGGTCCCAGTTGAGGACTTCCATAAAAAGAAATAACGTTAACAGCTCAAGAGGAGAAAAAAAAAAACTTGAACAGAATCACTTCTAAAGTGGCACACTTTCTGTCTAATTTCTGGACTAGACAAAATGGTCTTAGTAGTTTTGGACACTCCCAGGCTCTGCCAAGCCCATCATGATGGGACAGAAGCATGACCCCGATCCTTGCTGAAGTCTGCACAGAGCTGAGCAGCACAAGAAAGGTTATGGATAGAGAAGGTTTAGTGGAGTCAGAAAGGAAGGTGGCATGAGCACGTCAGTGTCAGAACAGCGGAGAAAAAGGAGGTTTCCTGCGTGCCCCGAAGTTTCACATACAGATGGAGGGCAACGTTTCCAGAGACAAAGTTTCCGGGTGCTGAATTACTCGAGTCCACGCACCTGGCCTCTATTCCTTGGTCAGCAAGGGCGACAGCACCACAGCGGCAGAATGTTTCCTCTCGGGGTCTCAGTTTTACATCTGGCAAGGCAAATAACAAGGTCACCCTAGAAGCTAAATACTCATGTGAGCAGGAGTTCTCCCCTAGCCGTCTCTCACCGCCCACCGGGATGCTGGGACGATACCTGACCGCACTCTTCC